ATTTAAGTAATAATTTCTAATTTGTACTACAGACTATTAAATTGATCTACTGTAATACTATAATGATAAAATATATAATAATTAATAATAAAATAATACAGATATGAATAAATAAGATAATAAAATATATAAATATATAAATAATAAATATAAAAATAAAACAGAGGTAACAACACCTATCAGATACCTGATATATACCTGATATTAGGGATGTACTATACACATATCGGATATCTGGTATGTGTATGTTTTATCAATTTTCAACCAGTGGAAATTCACTTTTTCGCCATCTTCCATAACAGAATTATCACTACTTTTTACATATTCTTCTTCACTATTATTATCAATTTTATTATTATCCAACATAGTAACTCTAGTATTTCTACAAGAAATTTGCACTGTTCACTTGTCATCTTTTAATATTAATTTACACTTTTAGTAGTCTATTATAGCATGAACTTTTCTTAACCAATCTGTTAAAAGAATTAATACGTAACCCGCTGCATCAATGACTTTCATATTAACAGCTACCACAATTTCTTATAACTTTATAGGTACTAATATCACGATTTTCAAACTAGATCATCTTTCTCTATGTATACCAGTTATTTTTCTTCTGGACACTTTCTCAATTTTTCATCCTATAGATTCCATAAAATTCTTCGAAATGATACTAATAGATGACCCACTATCAAAAATTACTTCAATTTTTCATCCAGCTACTTGAGCTTGACAAGTCATGGGTGTATTCTCTTCTACTATTGTATTATTAGCCATCTTTACAATTCTTGTATACTTTGGTATCAAAGCTTTTCGAGTTTCACTTCTATAGTGTGACATAATCATTAATTGTTCCAAAGTAATATTGACTCTTGTTACAAGTAAATCTGAGATAATAGAATATGACAAAGTATTTTGTATCATAAATGATTATTGAACAGGAGGTACTTTCTTTTTTTTCTTTTGTTTAGGGTCTTCAGATACTTCTTTTTTCTTTTCTGCTGATCATAATCTCTTACAATAGGTTACGAAGTATCTTGTTTACTTATTAACTCAATACTTTTTCCTATTACTTTATCATTATCTTCAGTTTTAAATGAGGAGTTTATATTATCCGCATTCTCACCCTCTTGAGGTATGCATATTAGTTTAAATGTTATATTCTTTCATAAACAGTGGAGATAGGCTGCTGAATTTCTTCCTCTTGAGTTATAAACGCATTACTATTTACATTTCCTTGCGAAACTTGTTGTGCAGTTTGATTAGTCGTTATATTAGTTACAGGAAATACTGTATTGATAGGACACAGAGCAGTAGAAATAGTAAGATTTATTTAGTTTTTTTGATTCCCTTGCTTTATAGAACAATTCCAAGCTATATGTCTGGTCTGTTCACAATGATAGCAATTAGATGGATTATTATAACTTTTGAAGCTTTGTCCTCTATTATTATT